CTGGTAGCGTAGTGGTTACGAATCGGGCTGCGAGCCTCAAGGTCAGCAGTTCGAAACTACCAGCGGTTCCGTGGGAGAAAGATGAGGCTCCTGTAAAGATTTACAGCCTCGGAAACCCTGTGTAGGGTCGCTATGAGTCGGAACTGACTCCACGGCACATCACAACAACATATATATACACAAGGTCAGCAGTTTGAAACTACCAGCTGTTCCGCTGGAGAAAGATGAGGTTTTCTGCTCCTGTGAAGATTTACAGCCTCGGAAACCCTGTACAAGGGTCACTATGAGTCGGAATCGACTACACAGCACATAACAATGACAACAACTATATATATATATAGGGAGAGAGAGAGAGAGAGAGAGAGAGAGAGAAAGAGAGAAAGAGAGAGAGAGAAACCACTGAATGCACTTGTTTGGGTCTCTGTGAAAACCACATTTCCAGAAAAATCCACCTGCAACTCTGCGCATATTGGTGCAGGAACTGGCTCAGGTGAGAATACTTGTTCCGCCCACCTCTTGCTGAGGCTAATCTGGGGAACACGAGAGACCAAAGGTCCTGGCAAGCTGCCTGGAAAAGTCACAGGAGGTGTTGAGGCAGGATTCAGGGCTACACTGAGCGGTGGCCGGTATTCAGACTGGACAGGGCCACCAGCCAGTCACATGAAACCAGAGGGCAGGGAAGGGGTGTGAGCACTGAAGAACACAATCTACCAGAAAAAGAAATTCCATTCCCCCAAACACTGACAAAGGAAGCTTCCATCTAGCCAGAACCCAGCAACCCTAGAATTAGAAGTAACACAAGTACAGAATAAGGGAGCAGATGGAGGTCAGTTCCCACGGGGTGGTAGGTACCCTGGTAACGGTTAGGGTTAGTTACAGTTGAATCTCTCGGCTGATTATCACCCTATGTACAATGGATCACTGGGATCTCCAGGATTCTCATGGACTGATTTTTTTTTTGGAAGTCGATCACCAGGCCTTTCTTTCTACTCCATCTTAGTCTAGAAACTCTGCTGAAACCTGTTCAGCAACACACGAGCCTCCATAGACAGATGGGCACCCTGGCTGGGAAAGGAGGCCGGGTTTCTTGTATGGAATGTAAGGATTCCACCCCTGAGCCACGCTGCGTCCTCACCTTCCCATTCCAGTTCGTTGCCATTCCCCAGGAACTCCAGCGAGTCGGTCTCATCTGGGGTCTCGATGTCATCCACGTTAATGTCGAGGTCATCGGGGGTGTCTAGGAAGTCGTCGGACAGCAAAGAGCCCTCGCTCTGATCCAGGGAAATGTTGATTTCTGGGGCGACCAGAGTCTTTCTTTTACGATGAGCTCCGTTGAAGTTTAAAGTATTTGGGGGTGCTGCAAAAGAACAGGAAAAAGTACGTGGGGTTGGGGCTCACTCTTCCTCCTCCCCCATTTCCTGATCTATTTCCATTGATCTGATTCTTCTGGCACCCCAATGTATGACACAATAGAACTGCTCCCTTGGGTGTCATGTTGATGGCAGCAGATCACCACGCCTTTCTTCTGTGGTGCTGTTGTGTGGGTTTGAACTGCAAACCTTTAAGTTAATGTTGTTGTAAGTGTCGTCGAGTCCATTCTGACTCATAGTGACCGTTTATAGGGTTTCCAAGGAGCAGTTGATTAATTTGAACTGCTGACCTTGTGGTCCCATGCATTATCCCACAGCACGAAACCAGGACGCCTTTAAGTTAATAATGATTACACTCTGTTTGGCTGTTTTGACCCACTCTGATAACCCCTGTTGTTGTTAAGTGCCATTGAAAACCTCCTAATTTCCCAATAGAGGTTATCCCTGAGAGCTCCAGACCATACCTGAAGCTTTATCCTAAACAGGTAACTCAGAGGGGGGAGCTGTCCAGGCCAGAAAGACCCATCTCAGCGAATTTCTGGGGCTTCTGACTAGCCTCAGAAGGCACCCCTTCCCTGACCTTTGACATTTCTAGGGTTGCAATCCTATCTGGGCAAAGCTGAAACCTTGAAATCGGAAACGAGAGCATGCATGATGGCATGCATGGAAACTTACACGAAGCGTCTCCTGGGGGACTGCCCAGTGTGTCCATCCCTGTCTCTTCTGGGAGAGGCCTGAAGATGTAGCATCAGCCACCAGGTACCACAGGTCCAGCCCCAGGAGTATGGTGTGACAGGCAGGTTCGGTCACATTCCGATAAAACAACAACCGCAGCAAAATGCTTTTAGCTTTGGGGATCATCATCGTGAAGAAATATACTTCTCCATTAGCACAAAAAATCATAAAACATGATCGGGGCTGGGGGCTGGGGTGTTGAAGGTTTAGGACCGCAGTCTCGTGGGTATCTCAGCCAACTGGAGTAATCGAGTTTGTAAAGTGATGTTCTATATCCTACTCTGGTGAGTATTATCTGAGGGCTTAAAAACTTGTCAACAGTCATCTAATATACAACTGTGGTGTTTATTTGTCACACTGTGGTGGCTTGTATGTTGCTGTGGTTCTGGAAGCTATGCCACGGGTATTTTAAATACCAGCAGGGTCACCCATGGTGGACAGGTTTTAGATGAGCTTCCAGACAAAGACAGACTAGGAAGAAGGAGAGACGGACTACTTCTGAATAGTTACTCACTGAAAACCTTATGAATAGCAGTGGAACACTGTCAGAACC